GAATAATCTAAAATATTGGATCGATATTGTTTCCGGTCTCAATGTCATTGTCCATGTAATTTTGGAGTTCCAAATTGATATCAACAATATCAAATTGATATACGCCAGCTGTGTAAAACTGAAAACTGTTTCCACAATATGTGCTAATAAATGAGTGGAATCCAAAATTCTTAGAAAACGATTCGAAAAACTTGTTTGTTGAACCCAAAGCTAAAGAAATTATGGATTCCATTTCTGTCTCTTATTACAGTGTGTAAAAGTTCAGAAACAAAATAGGGTTGTAAATATTTTGATATAAAATGATTGATGTTGATTTTACATCAATAAAATTATTTGCAAACCCTATTTTGGCTCTGATCTTTCACGCTAAAAAAACTATTTTAGCATCAGTCTCTTTTTTCCAATTAAAACGGGTGACAAAGGCAAATAGGGAAGCATACAGAAGAATTATTTGTTGCTGAACTGAAGAAACAAAACATAATAACATAAAGATAGAAAAACTATATCTCAATCACTTCAGACAGAAACGGGATTCGTTTCAGCAAGTAGATATCCATATTTTTAAATGGACCTTGTTGGAGCATACGTAATCCTAAAATGTAGCATCGTACTACAGATGGCGTTCACCATGCCATTTGTGGTATTTTTTAAGACGCGCTGTTAAGACAGCAGGTAAAGCTTGGTCTGTGTTCTGTCGGAGCTGCCTGCGACGCGCTGATGAGATCCAAAAAGATCGAAATCGCGATCCGCGTCTGGCAGTTTCGACAGAATACAGACCACTTCGAATTATTTTATTCGATTATGGTAACGTGCCTATCACGTTGAGGTTAGCTACGCCGGGATTCGCTTCAGCAAGTAGATATCCATATATTTAAATGGACCTTGTTGGAACATACGTAATCCTAAAATGTAGCATCGTACTACAGATGGCGTTCACCATGCCATTTGTGGTATTTTCTAGAAAATCTTAGTCATACTTAATCTTCGTAGCTGGTGATATAGTGCAAACACCACTATTAGTCTAGAAAACTCCAATATTTAAAAAACGATCAAATGCCTGCAAGTTTTCCTTAAAAAATATTTAATACTTACGTAAATATAGAAAATTAAATAGGTACTACAAAAGTATTTATTTGAAAAAAGTATTTTGAGAATACGTATTTTGCATTTAGCATTTAAAATACAAAAGGGAAATCTATTTTGTATTTTATATTTGAAATAACAAATCAAAAAAGTATTTGCATGTTCTATTAAATACCTTTAAAAAAACATTTTGCACATCTCCATATGTAAGGACCATTTATTGTGAAAAATCAATTATTATTTTAATAAACCACAATATACCACTTATTCCTTATCCGATCGCACTTAAAGCCCCTTTACATAGAAACACATGTACGTTACCTATAGGTACTACTAACTATTAAGAGAAATTGATAAAACACAAATTCAAAGGAAATTGCGGTACAGGTACTTGGTGTACATAGACTAAACATGTCTATTTTGAGTTCCCCAAATTCAATTAAATAGGTATTTCAAGTATTTCTTAACTTGCCTTTCCAGTGTCCAAGTTTGCATAAATGTTTCTTCTCATACCAATAAGTATTCCGTACTCAGTAGGTACCAGCAGATAAACAATTAACAATGGAAACGATATTACTTAAAATTATAAAAAAATTTCAAAAGGCACACGAATTTTACTTGAAGAAAGAATTAAATTGTTAAACATTGCACACTTATAACTCTTGTGTCAATGATTACACTGAAGAAAGAAAACAACAAAAGCGATTAAATTCTGGTATCTACTGTAAATGATTCAGTTGTTGATGTTTTTGGTCAGACCCAATTATTTCAATAAACAAGGTTGCCAAATAAAATTTTATAGAAACAATTTAAATATTTAGGAAGTTTTCTTTTAATTTTTCCAAATACTTTAAGTTTTCTTACTGGAATACTCTGTATAAAACTAGCGCTGCTCGCGGCTTCGTCCACTTGGAATTTTAGTTAGTCGGTTATAAGGGACACATTTTGTCAGTTTGTGAATTATATAAACATATTTTGTCCTGGACTTTTTTACAGATCTTTTCAAGTTTTTATACTTTTCTATAGAATCCATTCCAAGTCGTTCGGTTGCATTTTACCTTTTTCTATATATTATTATTTAATTCATGAATGTAGTAGTAAGCAAAATTGAACATCATATTTACTTTCAAATATTCCGTTGTTTTTTTCCTGTTTTATTTTCGAACCAAACAGAAATACGTTCTTTAAGACAAACAAAATAACATTTTTTACCTGATTTTGTGACTATTTGAACCCTCAGCCTTGAATGTGTCCATATTCTTAACGACAAAGATTCTAAGAATTTTACCCCCATTAGAAACTTTTGTCATCATAGCAAAGGAGAAAGTCGAAGTACCTACCAGTTTTTAGTTTTTAACAGTAAATTAGTATTTTCTAGTAGAGTTACCATGTTAGTTGTCTAGCCCAGATAGTACCAACCAATCAACCAACCAACTAATTCTTTTACCGCTAAATTCATCGTTTGTATATATTTTATTAAATAAATAGTGATTATCTTTAATTAGAGACATCACATTCGGAAATTATTGAAGTAATCCAATTTCCCATTAAGTTTAATAAAATTTACGGAAAAGCACATGTATATTCTTAGGCCTAGAGCCCACTGCGATTTTATAGTCGCCGTGGCTACATCCGCAGTTATAAACGTTATCTCTTTACAACATTATCTAATTGAAATTCCCGTGTTCAACTTTGCTCAGAATTCTAATTTGGTAATTTTACAAAAAAACTTTACAATGCTAACTTAAAATCTATTAAAAAAATGCATTTTTACAATAAAGTCATGAACAAAGTGGCGCCCGAATAGCCATCAGTATAGCTACATTTAATTTTTTATTAAGTAAACAAGAAAAAAATAAAAACAAAAAACATATTTATCTATATAGNAAACTTTACAATGCTAACTTAAAATCTATTAAAAAAATGCATTTTTACAATAAAGTCATGAACAAAGTGGCGCCCGAATAGCCATCAGTATAGCTACATTTAATTTTTTATTAAGTAAACAAGAAAAAAATAAAAACAAAAAACATATTTATCTATATAGGTACATATGACACTCAAGGAAAATATATTATTGCTTAACGATTTCGTAATTGTTTTTTGTGATAAATAATTAAATACTTAATGAAATTGACAATCATTTTTCCATTTTGCTCTTTTATTCTAATAAATTAATTTTTTTTCAACTAACAAAAAAGGAGGTTTTCAATTCGACTGTATTATTTTTGAACATATTTCTTTGCCAATTGTAAACGGATTAGTTTGTTTTTTTTTTCTTTTTGAATAGGCTATAATCTCACAATTGAAGGTGGTGCCCTTAAATTTTAGAGAAAATATTTTACTTCCAAAGGTGGAAAGTTAGAGGGTGATGTAGAAATAATTGGAGAAATTGAATTTTAGTAAACATCACCAAACGTTCCTTTACTAATTTTTTTTTTGTTATAATGTGTGAGTGTTCTATGCAAAAAATCAAATCGGATATGTTTGTAATAATATCTCAGTATTCTTTCGTAGGCAATGAGAGAAGAATCTTAATAAGCAAACTGCAATATATGTACGTCCTCACTTAGAATTCAGGAAGCAGTTCATTCACAGTATAGGTACTAATTGTCTTCAGGTCTTTGGCTCTTCATCAAACATTCTTGTGTGAACGAAAATGTTCAGTAACTATCCAGAGCCGGACTTAAAATTATTTGCTCAAAAGAAAGTAGAAAAGATTAGTATGCTTAGATTTGCAGATGCTATAGCAGTAATAGCATCTAGGAAGGAGCAGTAATAGCATCTAGCAAGGAGGAGTTAGAGATAGCTTTAAATAAAATAGAAGCGGTATTGACAAAACAGTAATGTATGAAAATAAATAAAAGTAAAGCAGAAATACTGGTATGCAAGGAAAGAAAAAGTAGGGAAAGAGCGAATGTCCAAAGGTAGTAGACAAAAGATTAGAAAAAGTGGCTGATTTTAGGTATCTAGGTTGACAGATAAGTACCTAAGGACGGAAGGAGTAGTAAGGATAGAAAGCAGAGGATAGTGCAGGGTCCAGTGGCCTTCAATTAAGAGAAGTCACTTCTATGCTAGTGAACAGTTGATTTAGAAATTCGAAAAAGATTGTTAAAGGTGTATGTTTTGGAGCGCGGCGCTGTACGGGTGTGAAACATGGACGATGGGTGCGGCGGAAAAGAAACGGTAAGAAGCATTCTAAACGTAGTGTTACAGGCGAATGATGAGGATACCATGGATAGAGAAGATTAGAGATGAACAGGTATTAGAGGGAATAGGAGAATAGAGAGTCACATGGAAGTCAATAAGAAACAGGCGAGACAGGTTGGTAAGACACCTTCCCAGGCATTAAGGTCCAGTCAGACACATATTAGAGGCAGAAACGGGAGTTAGGAGGGATAGAAGTAGACCTAGATTAGATTACTGTTCGCAGATGGTTAAGGATGTGGGTTCTTCTAGTTTTAGAAATGCGAAGATAGATGCAGGATAGGAAATAATGGAGGTGCGTACCCAACCAGTCTTAGGACTGACGACCTTATGATGATGATGAAAAAGTAGATTATACAAATGTATTTTGATTTCGCATTATACATAGAATTTTATAAAAATTCTGAAACTCAGAAATGTGATTCCTATACTTCACCAGATACAAACGATGAACAACAATATCACTTTATTAACTCTTTATACAGTAAACATACGGAAGAACTGTATTGGATAAATAAACTAAGTTTAAATTCAGTACTGATTAATAATATTAATATGCGTTACAAACCAATTGGACCTTCTAAATATCTTGTTAAGGTTGTCAATCTACTTACATATATTGGCAAATGTGGTAGAATCTTAAAACATTGAACAAACGAACTGATCTTTCATTTCTCAACAGATTAAACAATTATTACTCTTCTTTTCAGAACATGGCACCAAATATTTTGGTATTCTTGTCAGTAATGGTTGTTATCTCAATTTCATCCGCCCAATATGGACAATCCAACGAATGCTGCGAAAACTATTGTTACAGAATTGATGAGCAACCGTACTTGTACTTTGGCACAAAAACTTCATATCAGATCGTCTATGGAAAGAAATCTAATCAACACATTGTCCCTTGTAAGTATCAAAACAATCTTATCTCAACTCTTTTAGAACAAGGATTAACAATTAGTGAATTTCAAACTCAGTAAGAGAGAACGGTAGCTAATTTTTAAAAATTAATTTTTAAAGTTTCCTAGGTAGGTACGTAGGTTAAATTTCAAAAGCCAATGCATTGTAGGTACTTTTCTTACTTCTAACTATATATTTAGAAGAGAAATACGTTTATTACACTTCGCCAGGGATGTTAAAGTGCGGGTGCTTCAGGACCCATGCCTTCAAAGTTCTGGTACATATGCTGACCCACTCTGAGCATTAACTTAACCCGGTATAACACCAAAGGAGGTCTAAACTTTGAGAAAATGTTCTTTGAATCATCCAGTTCAAAACAACATTTTAATCTAAAACGTAATGAAGATATGTCGTTTTTTGTCCTACCATAGCCAAGCAAAGAAAACAATTTTACAATCATAAGTTTGAAAGCATTTTTAGATATTATTCCAATATTTCAAGTCTTTGGCTTGCTTACGGTATGGAGTGCGCAGGGTGCTATTTTAGTTTTTATTATATAAAGGACTATCTACTAAGAGTTCATATCCTGAAAAACTTTTTTAGCAAATTATAAAAAGCAAAAAAGTATTCATTTTTACTCTGGAACGGCATAATGTTAATTTGCATTAATATCATTCGACATTTATTCGGTAAAATTATGGACACAGTTAAAACGATAGGCATCATTGTTGAATTTCTCTTTTTCTTAAACATTTCTTTATTAAATGTATAAATACGTTAAAGTAATCTAACGTTTCCCAGTACGTTCGTAATGGTCTAACGTAAAACTGCTAAAGATGCTAATAAGTTACTCAACTATTTTTCAAATAGGTACAACTTTGCTTTGCAACGCAATGGTATTAGATCTTCAAACTGTAGAAAGTGCAAATAGCAAAAATTGAATGTCAGTATTATTTTTGACTCTCTTAACTGTATACTAATTCTAACGTTCTCAAGCCTAGGGAATTTAGAGTCAACTTAAGGAAAAGGGGATTTTTTTGCCAAATGAATTCTTATTGTTAAAATGGTACATTTCGAAAATTTCATTAAATATTTATAAATCATCATCAACATCAACATCATCATCATAAGGTCATCAGTCCTAAGACTGGTTGGACACGTACCTCCACTCTTTCCTATCCTGAGCTAATCTTCGCATTTCCCTAAAACTAGAACAACCCACATCCTTAACTATTTGCGAACAGTAATCCAACCTAGGTCTACCTTTACCCCTCCTAACTTCCGTTTCTGCCTCTAATGTGCCTGAGAATGTGTCCAACCAATCTATTTCGCCTATTTCTTATTGACATCCATATTGACTCTCTTTTCTCCTATTCTTTCTAATACTTCTTCATTTCTAACCTTCTCTATCCACGGTATCCTCATCATTCGCCTGTAACACCACATTTAGAATGCTTCTAACCTTTTCTTTTCCGCCGCACCCATCGTCCATGTTTCAAACCCATACAGCGCCTTATTCAGATATATTTCGAATTTCTAAATTAACCACTCGCGAACATGGAAGTGACTTCTTCCTGTTGATGGCGACTCGATCCTGCGCTATCCTCTGTATTACATATATCTCTGTTGTTCTTTCCATTTTGAATTATCTAGTTTCCTATATACCATTATGTATTTTCAGGTAATACTGAGTTATCAATACCGCTTCCATTTTATTTAAAGCTGTCTCTAATTCATCCTTACTAGATGCTAATACTGATATATGATCTACAAATTTAAGTATACTAATCTTTTACCCTTGTATATTTATCCCTAAAGTTATCCTGTCTTTAATGATGTTTATGAATAACTAAAGAATATTATTTCCGTTTTGTTTAAACATCCCTTCCTCCCCATAAAAATTCGTTCCTCAACTAGACTAATTGTAAGTAAAGCATTGTTTCACAGACAAACCTTTCTGATGAAGCAGTCAATAGTTACACAAACTAACCCAAACATCCATATGAGTGAAATATGGGAACCCAACCTAAGCTGAAGAGGTCTGAGTTGAGAATAAAACAGCAATCTGAGTTTCTTAGATTGTCTTTATTTTTGTTTACTTCAATACCTTCGTAAGCATGTAGAAGGAAAACATCATCAACACTTTTCTAATTAAATTTAAACAACCAGACAACGACACTAGGCTTTTCTATTTTGTTTTGTCTAATTGTTCTTTAAACCCAACGTTAACAGCTCTGCGGCTCTGCCCTATGTAGGTAATATTGATCGCAGTTTTTGTATTTCATATTGTAAATTCCTTCTAAACGTTTTTTGTATATTTCTGGATTACTTATGTTTTGTTTACATATTGAATAGATTGAAACAAGAATAAGAATGGCGATTGGTGTTATAATATTAACGTAATACTAAATATTTTCTATACTATTATCGATCCTTTATAAATAATAGATGGGACTAACAAAAAAAAATAATTGAAAAAGGGAATTTAAATGGATTTGTTATTACATACGAGGGTGGATTGATAAGTTTCCGGCCTAACCAAGAGATGACGCCACTAGGCCTACCTTGAGGTGACATTCTATAGTACCATCCTTGGATAGCTTGTAGCTATAGTTTCAGCCCGATCTCCTTGCTANTAAATTTATTTACTTTTCATTTATTTTTATGATAAATAAATTTTATTGCCTTTGAAAAAGGTGGAGATGGAACGAATCAATTTCATTGGACAGAGCAAACGATCTTACGTCTTCTGGAATTCAAGAACTTAAATTTTTAGCGAGACGGTACCAAACTCGATTTAGGGAATTACTTACTTTGCCATACTCTGAACAGACATATAAAGTAAGAATTAAATAATTGTTACTGTGTTAGTAACTTTTTTTATTTGAATTATAAATAATTTAAATAAATTACAGTTCCAGTACACAAATACTGATAGGACCCATGACAGTTACCAAGCCTATATTGAAGGTCTGTTTAATGAAAAGGCTTATGAAGCGCATGCAGATGTTTTAAATGAAGATCCTTTATTACAGGTATTGTTTTTCTTAAATTATTTGTTTATTAAATATTGGTTGGCTCTTGTAAGTATTGAAATCATCGGGGGCCATTTTTGATGACTTGTTCTAATATTGGACGACTATTTTTTCTTTTAATTTGAAATTAATTTTCCAAATAGAATAAAAACAAACAGATAAATAGTTAAATTAAATTACAGAAATACAAAAATTGTGCTAAATGGCAAGAAGAAGTTGATGATAACCCTGAAACTTTAACCGAGTATAATAAGTTTAAAGAAACACAGGAGTACAAGGATCTTGTGAGGTCCGTATTTAGAAGACTTGGATTTAAATATACTCTCAATGATAGTGTCATTGAGGATATGTACGACATGTGCCGCTACGAGAAGGCTTGGTAAGTCAAACAGACTTTTACTGTTTTGTCTATTACGAAACAAGAAAGATAGAACCTGTTTTTAATAGTAAAGGGAAAAAGAAGGCAATATGTTTATTAAGAACGTTTTCTATTTCAATTCCACATGCAGCATGGATCTAAATGGTGCTTGATGACTTGCATTTTTTAGTAATGATGGATGTCAAATTTCCCCTTAAATGACCTATTTATTATTTTTATTTAAAAACCAATTTCAAGCCCAAAATACCAAAAAATTATAGAACACCACTCTTTGTTTTAAAGCTAAATAATGAAAGTACACTCTCGATTTTTCTTGAGAATGGGAACTTAGATTTTCCAGAAATCAATTTAAATTATTTATTCAAACCGCTCTCAGTTCCCTCTCAAGAATCCATCAACCAATAGCGAAATGATGGAGTAAATTAGAAATATTAAATTTTTATTTGATCTTTTCACTTGTATAATTTCATTATTTCTTTTCGATGTACAGGTATGTTATGAGACCATCAACATGGTGTGCTGCGTTTACAAAACAACAGTTAAAAGTATTGGAATATGCCGCTGATTTGATCGATTATTATCGAACAGGATACGGAAACGAGATGAATAGTCAATTGGGATGTCCTCCGTTGAAAGATTTGTATGAACGATTTGAAAGAACTATTAATGGTAAGTTTAGTAGGTAATCAACTTGCTGGACATTAAAGTAAGGCAAAATGTCCACCGAATGTGATTTTTTTTCACCTACGTCTAGCTGAAAATATCTCTTGTTTCTCTGAAAATTATCCTAAACTAACTGAACTCTCACAATCTTTTGTGCAAAACGTAACACCCCTCAGAAACCTTAAATTGCATTTATTGGATTAAGTGACTCTATTATATTTACATGAAAATTTTCCTTTATCACTATTGGATGTAACAGAACATCTCTATGCTCGATTCTCAATTCGCCACAAGTGCATAAAAGAGTATCAGGTTTTTAAAAACATTAATAATTTTAAAGCAAATTTATATAATTGGTATAGATTACATCATTAAAGTTGGAACTATTTAAAGGAAATGGCTACGGCAGAAATTAAATTAATTCCATTTCAGGGAGTTCCTTTGAACAAAAAGTGGCTGTATACTTCACACATTCTGCCACAATACAACTCTTTGTGACAGCGATGGGCTTACTAAAAGATTACACACCATTAACTGCGGATAATTACTACACACAAGCCAGAAGACAGTGGCGTACATCTTCGATTGCGCCTTTCTCAGCGAACGTGGTAGCAGTGCTTTATGAGTGAGTGCAATACTTATATCTATCAATAATATTTTAAAGATTTATGAAATCACTTCATCAGGTATAGAAATAATTACTTCTATAAATTTTTTGACTTTTCACTTTTTCATTACTTACTTCTTCTGTTTGAAAGATGTGACCAAGGCGACAAACACAGGGTGATGTTCTTCTTGAACGAAAATCCTGTAGATTATCCAGGATGCCAGGTGGGTTTATGTTCATGGCAAACTGTATCAGAAAAGCTAAGAAACGCAGCCCAAAGTTGCAACATGGAATTCTGTGAAAACGCTGCGCATATTAAGTCCGTCTCTGTTATTTCATTTAGTCTAACTGTACTCAGTATTCTAGTCGTTAAATTAATACTTTAATTGATTAAGATTTTTTCTTGTTAATAAATCAATAATAAGGAACATCTTAAAACATTACTAAGGGAACTTGTTGCTAGGTGTTTAATGTGAGTAGCCCTTGCGTTTCTATATGTGGATGTTAGATAAGATTGCTACTCACCCACCCTCTTGATACAAAATACTTTTTATTACTAAAACGAACTTGCTTTTATATTTTCTTTTATCGTGCAGAATTTACACTGAAGATAATTATTCATAAAATTTTATGAACTCGTTTAAATTTGTTTCAAACTAATTTTACATTATATACAATTTAGTTTTTTCTTGGTTCTGCCCCCTCTTGTAATAAAAAGGCGAGTACACTTACAAGCGCTAGTTGAATGTTTAATAGAGCACCCTGTATGTCAGTTTAATGATTTACATCTGTCTTGTTTTAATTAAATGCCATTAGATCGAATTAGTATTAAATAGTATTTTGAATATCCAATTGTTTCTAATTATAAATTGTTCAAAGTATCTTATTTACAATAAATTGTAGGCACCAGCGTTTTGTAGTTCACTAGATATTCATTTTTAAAATTAAATTAATGTTACTCTTAAAACAATACGTAAGTTGTTACTTGCCCAACTCTCGTACCCGTCCATGTTTTAATGTAAAAACTTAAACGTATCCTGTACCTACACTACTGTATCTCGGTTTTATCAAAAACAACTTTTTTTGTATTAGTATTTGACTTAAAAATTGATGAAACTATTGTTAATAAACTAATTGGTTTGTAGTCATACAAAATAACGACAAGTTTAGAGTGTTTGCTGTAATGTGTATTTTTGTATTATAAATATATCACATTCATTTACAGTTTACTAAGAGTCAATACAATAGAGAAAGTTTGTAATTAAGTTTAAAAACTATTGCATAAAGACCATTAAGTGTTAAGAACAATTTGTTACGTTACCCCCTTCCAGGCTTCTATTAATTAGTTTAATTAAAAGTGAAAACTAGCATCATATTTACAGGGTGGACTAAAAGATTTGAATTGGCCACTGTGCAAGCGTGAACAGGGGCGTTGTGAGGGGATTTACTAAACTCAAGAGTAGCCAATAGGGATTTCAGTGTCATGACGTTCTTCAACGGAGCACAAAAAATTAAATTAATATAAT